AACCTCACCTTCCGCTTCGGAAATTCACACTAGCGCCACATACTAAACAGCTACACTAGCTCCACTCTAAACACAAACTCCACTTTATAAACAGATACTAACTCCACACACTATACAAAGATTTAAATGCCATTTACATAGCAAATAGGCATTCAGGCGGTCTGTAGTGTGGAATCACAGCAACATTATCAACGAAGACTAAGTTGGCGTCAACGGCTGAGGACGGTGGATGTGCACCAGGAGTCGTGGGGCTGTGGGAGTAAAATATCGATCTTGGGGAGGTGGTTTGGGAGGTGTTACATGGGGGGGGGGGGAAGGTGAAGGGTGTGGGCCCACTAGCGTTTGCTCCACCCCAACACCATATATATATATTCCCTACATATAGCATGGGGGTCACCGCTCCTGTGCCAGGTAAGTCCACTACGGGCTCACCATAGCCCGTGCTACTTTGGGACTTGTTCCGAGTAGCTGAATCTATAACAACAACATAGCATGGGGTTGTATGGAGTCATACGGCCCCTTGCTACTGCATAACATTTAATAGCTAAAAACAGATCTTAAAAATACTTTTAACTGTTCCTTGTAGCTTTAAGACTACCCTGGCACAACCTGGGGGCCACGGGGCCAGATTCGCGAAAGCACTTACGAACCTGTACATCTTTTCTCAATCTTCGACGGCTTTGGTTATATTTATTAAACAGTTTACAAGCATGAAAACTTGCCAATCAACCGTTGTTATTGTTATAAACAGCCTCCTGGTGCTTCGGAGCTCATTAACTGTTTAATAATTGTAAACAAAGCCGCCAAAGATCGAGAAAAGATATACAAGTTTGTAAGTGCTTGCGTAACTACTTCGTGAATCTAACCCCTGGTGTGGTTGAGCCACAGCTGCAATCTTCCTCAGGGGGAGTGCACAGTGTTCTCCAGGGGACCCCCCATCTCAGATCAATACAATAACAGCGACCCCCCGCGGCCAGTAAATGAGCAACCCATATTGTCTTCAGTCTCGAAATTATTGTGGAGTTCACAGCGCGTAGAAACCAACACTAACTTCTCCTAAGATAGTGAGCTATAGAAGGCATATTTCGAAATCGATTTATATATATTTTGGTTTAGCTGTTGCAAATTCAGGACCCACTTGTTCAAATATAAAAAAAATCAGCGGCCATTGGTAAGTTAAGTTTGCAGACTGTTTATTGTTAACGATTCCCTTCAAGGATTGTGTAGTTACCGCTGCTGCTGCTGGCAAAAATTAACACGAGGGTGAAAACATCAGCCACAAATATGTTTGACCAGACCACACACTAGAAGGTGAAGGGACGACGACGTTTCGGTCCGTCCTGGACCATTCTCAAGTCGATTGTGAAAATGAAATCGACTTGAGAATGGTCCAGGACGGACCGAAACGTCGTCGTCCTTTCACCTTCTAGTGTGTGGTCTGGTCAAACTACTTTAGCCACGTTATTGTGACTCCTCGTCTGCCACAAATATGGTCTTGGACCACCTGTCTCTCCACGTTTATGTCTGACATTTACTGTCATTGTATTGTAAAGGCAAGATTGCTTTCAACACGCACACATCCCAAGGAAGCAGCCCGTAGTAGCTGTCTAACTCCCAGGTACCTATTTACTGCCAGGTGAACGGAAATTCACTTAGCTTTCATCAGGGTGAAAGAAACTCTGCTCAGTTGTTTCCGCCTCCGCCGGGACTCGAAACCGGGCCATTCCGACTATGACCCCAGAGCGCTGCCCACTCTGTTGCGAGGCCCCACGTATGTACGTACGTACGTGTGTGTGTCCGTCCCCGTCCGTCCGTCCGTCCGTACCACTCCCCCACTACCTAACACAGGAAGTGCTCACGCCATGAAATCAACACCACTATTCTTGCTTAAACTTCCTTCCGTCTGTGGGTCTGTGCACCTTGTCCCCATTCCTCCTATGTCTGCTGCCCCCCCCCTTCACCTCTTAATATCTCTTCTTCTGCCTCCTTAAGGGCCTCCCTCATCTGCTGCCCATTCACTCCCACCTTCTTACCCCATTAGGTCGCTACCGCTAATCATGGCTACCCACTCGCCCACGGGACTATCCCAGTGGGACTGACCCCAGCTGGCCTAGGTGGCGAAGAGACTGACAATCTGGTAACATTTAAAGCAGTCTTGGCTTCACGTAAGCTCTGTGTATACTCTCGGGGTGGGTCCCTGTCTCAGGTCTGCTTCCAACGTTAATTTCTTTTCGTGAGGTCGCAAAAGTCTGCTTTCGTTAACGTGTTGAACAATGAGTGTTTTGGTGTGTGTGTGTGTGTGTGTGTGTGTGTGTGTGTGTGTGTGTGTGTGTGTGTGTGTGTGTGTGTGTGTGTGTGTGTGTGTGTGTGTGTGTATGTGTGTGTGTATGTGTTTGTGTATGTGTATGTGTATGTGTATGTGTGTGTGTGTGTGTGTGTGTGTGTGTGTGTGTGTGTACTCACCTATTTGTGCTTGCGGGGGTTGAGCTCTGGCTCTTTGGTCCCGCCTCTCAACTGTCAATCAACTGGTGTACAGGTTCCTGAGCCTACTGGGCTCTATCATATCTACATTTGAAACTGTGTATGGAGTCAGCCTCCACCACATCACTTCCTAATGCATTCCATCTGTTAACTACTGTGTGTGTGTGTGTGTGTGTGTGTGTGTGTGTGTGTGTGTGTGTGTGTGTGTGTGTGTGTGTGTGTGTGTGTGTGTGTGTGAAATATAACATTGGTAGGCACTCAAACACAAATGAAAGTGGGTTTTTAGTGCTGTGACAATAACATAAAACCGTGGAAACAGAAACACGCAAAAAATTCCCGCAAATAATCGCAGATATACAAATAAATTTTAGCGTGGATCGTCGCCATTTTTATGCTAGCGCCAAAGTTCAATGACACGTGTTGTGTAGTATGCAGAATAAAGCTGCTGTTCTCTTACGAGTTTATGCCATATGCGCCGCACTCTACTGTACTGTACTGTACTGTACTGTACTGTAGTGTACTGCACCGCACTGTACTGTACTGTCCTCTGTATGAAATGTATAGCCCTCTACTCCGTAGAAAGCTTTCCATTGGAGACTTTCAGCGCCGTGGAGAGGTAGGGGGGGAGGGGGACTTGCTGCATGGGTAACAGCTTCTCCTCCATATCAACCTACTCTGGCTTTGCGCCCTGGAGAGGCCACTTCAGACCGACAACCAGAGCGCAACTCCATAGTCTCCTGAGACTGATGGATGCCTACTACTTTTACGTACGCCCACTGTGTGAAATGTCTGTGTCATTTCTATACCGTATCTGGTATTCTGTCGATTGTATGAAATATACATCACTATAATGTATAGCCTACTGTATCTATCATGTATAATACAACTTAGGCTCTATTCAGTAAGACAGCGGTTATGGACCCAATCAGTTTTTTTTTTCAGGGATATTCCTGCGCGGGCCCTAAGCCTCTGGCTGGCCCACTAAGTGTTGCTTGTTTCTGTTTTACTTGGGCGGAGTATGAGTATTTATCACTCGTATGGTCGCTTCAGTAAGATTTTGCCATATGTGTTTAACAACTTCTTCTGCTCCCAATCAGTTAATTCTATGCTCAGTAATTCAATGCGTTACTAACCTTAGCCACGATTTCAAGTTGTTAAAGCTAATGTTTATTAGTTCATGATATCAATACCAATGGTAATTAGTCGATTCTAATTCAGAACATTAATACCAGTGGTAATTCAGTGAAGATACCTGGGGCCAGATTCACGAAGATGTTACGCAAGCACTTATGAACCTGTACATCTTTCCTCAATCTTTAACGGCTTTGGTTATATTTATTAAACAGTTTATAAGCATGAAAACTTTCCCAATCATCTGTTGTTATTGTTATAAACCGCCTCCTGGTGCTTCAGAGCTCATTAATTGTTTAATAATTGTAAACAAAGCCGCCAAAGATTGAGAAAAGATGTACACGTTCGTAAGTGATTGCGTAACTGCTTCGTGAATCTGGCCCCAGGTCCGGTGGCTTTTGACAAAAGGTGTTAAGAATATTGACTACTAATTCAAGATAGTTCACGAAATATGGCGAGTCTGCTCCATCCCCTTCTCCATCCCCATTACCTGGATCATACCTAGAGAGGATTTCTAGAGTTGTTATATTCTCCCCAAGCCCGACCTGGGGCCCCAGGCTCAACTTGTAATAACTTGATGCAACAGGCTGGTGTTGCTTGGAGCGGCCCGAAGACCCACATACCCACCACAGGCTGGTTGGTCCGGCACTCCTTGGAGGAATAAATCTAGTTTCCTCTTGAAAATGTTCCGGGTGGTTGGTCCGGCACTCCTTGCATTATACCTCCTGAAGAAAGAACTCAGTCGAGGAACTAGCTTAGAGGCAACAAGCAATGCAAGAGGGGGTAGTGAAGAGGACACTGCAAAATCATGCAAACGAGATGCGTGGGAGAGGGGAAGGTTTAAGATGGCAGGCAAGCTCTATTACTTAATATAATCTACAAGCTATAATACACTCGAGAAAATATATCAAGCATATATTCCCCAGTTCTTGCGAGGCATCGAACCTGGACCAGTTTCTTGTAGTTCAAATGCCATCATAAGTCATGAGATTGACGTGTGACTTATATATATATAAAGGTCTGAGGGGGGTCAATGCCTAGCAAGAACTTTAGGAGTAATTGCATAATATATATAATATAGAAACTTATATTATGAACCGAAGAAAGAAAAAATACCATAGCAATTTAATAGCATTAGACGACGTCTAGCACAGGTGCGCTCAGAGTTGCTCAATAGAGGCTCAGGGTTGCTCAATAGAGCCTCACGAGGCGCTGCCACTCGCGCGCTCCTTAGCCAGATATCATCTGCTCTTTTACTGGCGGGAAACCCCTATCAGGCGATGGCGATAGATACAGAGGAGAGTGAGAGGCAGAGGAGAGTGAGAGGCACAGGGAGAGGCAGAGGAAAGGGAGAAGCAGCAACGATACGATGGTGTCCGGGTACTCACCAGGCGGGACGACGCAGGAACATCGAGGAACCTCCAGTTCATTCTGCCGAAGACGCAGCTTGCGGGCCTCCTGCTCCTCCGCCAGCCCCGCTGTGGGGCTGGCGGGACAGTCCTGCTGCGTGTCCTCTGGTTTTTCTTCTTGGGTCGGCTTTTCTTCCTGGGGTAGATGCTGTTGTGGTGGTGGTGGTGGCTTGGGTGGTGGTGCTCGCTTGGGGGATGGTTGTTTGGGGGATGGTTGCTGCTTAGGGGATGGTTGTGGCTGGGGTGGTGGTGGTGGCGGTTGCTGGGGTGATGGTGGTTGTTTGGGGGATGGCTGTTGCTGAGGTGGTGGGGGTGGTGGTTGCTGCTGCTGCTGCTGCTGGTGTGGATGTTGATGCAGCTGTTGTCGCTGTTGCTGCTGATGAAGTTGCAGCTGCTGCTGTTGTAGCTGCTGCTGTTGCATCTGTTGTTGGTGTTGTAGCTGCTGTTGGTGGTGCATCATGTGCCGTTGTTGTTGCTGGTGATGTATCAACTGTTGCTGCTGCTGCAACTGATGTTGCAGCTGCTGCTGTTGTTGCATTGACTGCTGCTGCTGCTGCATTGACTGCTGCTGCCGTTGTAGCTGGTGGAACTGATGGTGATGCTGCATTTGCTGTTTGTGCTGATGTTCCTGTAACTGAGGTTTCTGCATGGGCTCTTGATGGTACGGTTTTTGATGGAGATGTTGTTGGCAATGCTGGACATGATGTTGGTGCAGTTGGTGGCTGCTGCTGTGCCTCATCTGTGCAGTCGTGTCGCCCTGCTGAGCACCAGGGTGGTGGTCTGTGCAGCTGCTGTGCTTCCTGACGTGCTGTGCGTTCATCAACTGTGCTGGACCCTGCTGCATAATCTCATGGTGAATACTCGACTGATGGCAACTGACTGCATGCTGAGTTGGAATTTCATGCTGCTGAAACAGACTCTGTTGTGAGGCATGACTTGTCGACGTCGACACCACCACGGGCGACGACGTCGTGTTAGAATTGGATATGGTGGTGGTAGTGTTAGATGTATAATCAGGAACTGATTGCTGAGGCTGGTAGGCAGAGACAGGGGGCCCCGGGGGCCGGATCTGCCCCTCATTTGGTGCTGAGGGCAGCCGCGGTGGGTGCGGCCCCGCGGGGGTGGGCGGCCGGAGTGACTGGGTGCTGGCTCCAGTCACACTAGCACACGCAGGCCGTGACATGCACGGTCCTGCCCCCCTGACCCTGCCAAACCGAAAATCCTGGTGGTTTTGACTGGAGTCCGGACTGTCGGGGAAGTCGTAAACAGACAACTTCCAGCCGGGGTCCTGCCGGCCCACTAGACTAGGCTTGTGGTCCAGCTGCTCCGCTGTTGGCTTCTGGTTCTGTTGGTCTAATGTTAGATGAGGGACCAGTCCATCTCTCAGTGGCAGTTGATGCATCTGGTCCAGTTGCTGCTGTTGGTCCAGCTGGGCCAGTGATGGCTTTTGGTCCAGCTGGTCCAATGGCGGCTTTTGGTTTAGCTGCTCAAGTGATGGCTTTTGGTCTAGCTCGTCTACCGGTGGATTAGGATCCGGGCGATCCGGCGGTTTGGGCGCTATACTGCTTGACGGATCAGCCAGTTCCTTCTTGATTTCAATATCAGTTTTAAGCTCGCATTCACTTTCCATTTCAAACTCTTCCTTAACTTCCTCCTTAATTTTAACTATATTTTCATTTTTAATTTCAGTAGTGTGAGTACTGGGGAACGTGGTCCCCTGCAGCGGCGCCCCAGAGAGCTGGGGTGAGTGACTGCTGCTGCTGGTAGTGGTAGTAGTGGTGGTAGTGGTGGTGGTAGTGGCGTGGGTCGTCGCCGCCTCCACGCCGCCCTTCACATCAGTACTGTTAGCGTGGACTACAGAGCCCGGGCCAGACTCTGTAGTCCTATAGGCTAAAAAATTCTGGGCCATTTTGAGGGATTCGTGCATGTGTGAGGGCTCGACGTTGGCCACGCTGGTGACAGCGGCCACGTGGCCGGAGAAGTGCACCTCCCCAAGGGGCGGAGAGTCCACACTCCCGCCGGGGTAGCTGCCCCCTTGCCGGGACATTATCATGTTTTTAAGTCGACTCTGCACGCTGACGGAGCCGTGCGGGCTGCCCTGAGGCACTCCCGCGCCCCCCTCCAAGGCTTGACCCGAGTACCCGCCCGCAGTCACTCTAGAGCCGAGTAAACTCTGCGTGGGGGGAGGCGGCGGGTACCCAGGCTTCTCGTTTGGGTGCTCGGAAGCGTGGGGGGTGTGGGGGGCGTGGGGTGACGGTAGCGTCGTCATAGTGAAGCCCCCCGTCACCGGCGACGCCTCGGGGGCTGACACGGCAGGAGAAGGCATCGGAGATTTGAACATGCCACCTTGTTGCTGCTGCTGCTGTTGCTGTTGCTGTTGCTGCTGTTGCTGCTGCTGTTGTTGCTGCTGCTGTTGCTGCTGTTGCTGTTGTTGTTGCTGCTGCTGTTGCTGCTGCTGTTGGTGGAAGTCGTTAGATCCTGGGAAGCGGTGGTGATGGGGAGATGAACCCCCCACTACCCCGTTTCCCTGATTTTGGCTGAGGAAACCATTGGGCGGGCCATTACTGAAGGCGGGGACGGAACTCTGCGGTGTCTGCGGGGAGAAGTGCCCCTGCGGAACATAGCCGCCGTTACCGTTGTCGCCTCCCGCGTTGAACTGCCCGTTGAACTGGTTGTTGTACTGGGACACGCTCGGGGTGGGTGGCGCAGGCGCACCACTAGGCCCACCGGGGAAGTTGAACATGGGTTGCCGGGGCTCGAACTGATTAAACTGGTGTGGTGGGGGCGGGGGCGGTGGGTGACCCATAGGCGGGTGCCCAAGGGCAGGAGGATGGAAGGGTGGCGGCCATTGGCCCTGCGGCGCCTCGCCTCCCCATACGGCGTTGGGGAAGCGCTCCCGCATGTGGGGGAATGGGGGTATCTCTGGGGGAGGAAGGGCCGGCTGTTCCCCCATCCCTGGGCCTGGGAAGAAGGGCATCATGGCGCCCATCCCTGACTGTCGACGCTCCATCTTCTCGCCGCGAGGAGTCTGCAACAACAGAGAAAAGAAAAGTGTCAAAACAAGTATCAAAGCGTTCAATTATACCATATTCAATAAGAACATTACATTCATTTCTTTATTATGCACCCCATACCCATCCGGTGGGCGGTGGTCATGACATCTAGTGAGTGGATTGGTCAACATCATGACACGTTTGGTGTCGTAAATGAATTACCCGCGTGCTATGTGCATGTGAGCACGGGGGGGGGCGCACGTGCATGTGAAAGGGGGGAAGGGGGAGGGGAAGGGCCCCACGGCGCGTGCGGCCTGACACATAAAGCGTGTGTGGGTGTTACCGTGTGGGTTAGGGGTGGTTGTGGGTCAGCTGACTTGACAGATGAAGGGTCAAGCCAGGCTCGTTAGGTTAAGTGCTCCGCCGGGTACCTGGAACAAAGACGCCCTTCATCCTCTACAGCGTCGGCATCTTCATCGCCAGCCACTGTTTGTAAACAACATCGTGAAGGGGGCCTCGAGTAGCTCTTGATAATTAGCCACATTGAGGTCGGCTTATGGTTATGTCCCCGTGCCATGTGCTCTTTTGTTTACAAACAAGAACACGTGGGGGTGCTTTTAATATTGGCAACGAATAAACGCCTCTAAGACCGTGTATCTTAAAAGCGAGTTGAGCGTACAGTCGTTCCCCCTACTTCCCTCCCCTCAAAGAGAAAGGGAAAGGGGGATCTCCCCCTTACACCCTAGGGGAAGGTGTGGGGGAGGATACGGGCTAATACCATCTTTCGGAACTCTTGGCAAGAGGGCTGCCCTTAAATGTCAATTCTTCCTTCCTCCCCTAATTCAACAGGTGATGGAAGGGGAGGCGGGGAGGGGAGCCTCTTTCACACCACTTGCACCCTTGAACACTCTCACCATAAGGTATGCACCAGAAATCCTAATCTCCCCTTGGCGCATACGAATGATAACACTCTTGACCTTGACGTGTCTATGGCGACAATATGGCTACCCTCCCCCCCCCTTTGCTTCCGCCCTCTCTCTCTCCCTCTCTCTTCTCTTCTTATCCCTACTTCTCCCCTATTAGGTCAGTGCCCTCCCCCACCCTTCGGCAAATGCCTCCACATCCTTCCTCTCTTTCCCCTTTCAAGGACGCTCAAGGCCGGAGGTTGGGGGAAGGGGAAGGCCACACAGGGCGACGAGGGGTCGAGGGACGGGCCAGGGGTCGAGGGATGGCTCAGAGCAGTAATAGCACTATTCCCACCACCTTTCCTCACCTCTGCTCAGGGGGAGGAGCAGGCTGTCCTCAACAGGTGGGTGGGTGGGGGTGTTTACCTAGTTGTGCTTGGAGGGGTTGAGCTCTGGCTCTTTGGCCCCGCCTCTCAACTATCAATCAACTGGTGTACAGATTCCTGGGCCTATTGTGTGTGTGTGTGTGTGTGTGTGTACTCACCTATGTGTGCTTGCGGGGGTTGAGCTTTGGCTCTTTGGTCCCACCTCTCAACTGTCAATCAACTGGTGTACAGATTCCTGTGTGTGTGTGTGTGTGTGTGTGTGTGTGTGTGTGTGTGTGTGTGTGTGTTTTCTAGAGGATTGATAGCTAGAGCACAACTCAAGAGTAATCAAAGGATAAACATAGCGCCTACACATACCAACACTACTCGACGACTTTAAGGTAATACCATTCAGGGCAAAGCACGAAAGTCTAACAACCCATTTACCACCGTCGCTACCCATGAAACACTGGAGATTCAAGCTGCATATCATTTATTTACATAGTATTTACGCTCAGCTTTAGCCAATAACCTCTTAGATTATTAACTGTGGGTGGCCGCGTGTGTTGTATGATAAGGCGACAAGCTGATAATCCCTGGGTGATGGTCGTCCGGGCCAAGGTTGTCTGAAGAATATAAGGGAGAATCGAACCCTGGGTGGCAAGTAGGTGTGGTTAACCGCGTAATTACTGGAGGATTAGCGGCAGGTTAAGTGTACATTTCAGTTACGAGGTCCTCAGTGTTACTTGGTGGTGTATGTAGAGGGCTGAATCATTCTGTTTCTGTGAAGCCTGTGATATGGAGCCTTGGGACCAGATTCACGAAAGCAGTTGCGCAAGCACTTACGAACCTGTACGTCTTTTCTCAATCTTTGGCGGCTTTGTTTACAATTATTAAATAGTTAATGCGCTCCAAAGCACCAGGAGGCTGTTTATAACAATAACAAGTTGAATGGGAAGTTTTCATGCTTGTAAACTGTTTAATAAATGTAACCAAAGCCGTCAAAGAATAAGGAAATATGTACACGTTCGTAAGTGCTTACGTAAGTGCTTTCGTGAATCTGGCCCTTGGTTGTGTAATGATGTTCTCGTATATTTCAGTGTTTTGACATCTTCAACGCCATCTATAGATCCATTGGTAGCATGTTGCTCTGTCATCCCAGGTTGAGCACTGCCGGGTCTGTCTAGTAACATTGGGCGTGACCATCTCGACAAGATGGTAAGTATGTTTGGCCTGTGTTAACTACCAGTAACTACCAAACTACTCTCCTCGACTTTCCTCCGCCCTGTTCCAACTCATACCCTCACAGCCTTCCTTCGGACATCTGTAGACGCAGACGATGAGTCCCAAAACCGTGGCTGAAGATATGATCATCAAACTACACATCAGAAAATGAAAAGACAACGACGTTTCAGTCCGTCCTGGACCATTCCCTGGAAACACAAACCGAAACTATTTCTATTTTCCGCTTGTTACAACTTGTAATAAAAGTTGTTACATCTTGGCTTAACGTGTTTATGACGTATTAGAACGTTGTTACAACTTGCTATATTGGTTGTTATAACTGGTTAGGTGTTAAAACTTGCTCGAACGTTGTACCAACGTCGTAGTTTCGGTGTGTGTTTGGCGGGATTGTCATGATGCCCATCACTTGATGATAGTTCAGGCCGGACCAAAATGTTGTCGTATCTCCATTTTCTGTGAGGGGGGGGGGGGGTCATCCCATCGGCAGATGTTTATAACACTGCTGCCCCCATATAATGTGGGGTGCCCAATATTCTCGCCGCCTTTATTAGGGGCAAAACCTCACAGCTCCTTCCCCCCCCCCCCTCACAGTTTATCAACCTCTCATTATGGAGTCACGAATGGGTATGATGGGTATTGGTTGAGGGGAAATTAGTGTGTTGGGAGCGGGCAGGAAGTAGCCGTCGTGTAGGGAAATTGAAGAATGGGGAGCAGTGTGTGTCTGGCGGAGGAGTAACTCTAGCAAAAGGAGCGCTGTCAAAAATTATTATTATTATTATTATTTTTTGTTCGTAAACGCTCCATATTTTAACTGCATTCGAGCAATAGGCTACCTAGTCCGAGGCGTGCATGTGGTAAGGCACCCTGCAGTGTGGCTTTTCTACAGTCGAGAAGAGCCTTGGAGAATGTAATTTGGGAGATTTTATAATATATATATATATATATATATATATATATATATATATATATATATATATATATATATATATATATATATAACTCATATATATATATATAACTCATATATATATATATAACTCATGAGAAAACTCACACCCCAGAAGTGACTCGAACCCATACTCCCAGAAGCAACGCATCTGGTATGTACAAGACGCCTTAATCCACTTGACCATCACGACCGGACATAATGAGGTGATAGCCGAGGCTATTTGAACCACCCCACCGCCGGCACTCGGATAGTTATCTTGGGCATAGCATTTACCAAATCACCTCATTCTTTGGGGCAACACGTGAGGAACACAAATGCGAACAAGCCTGAATGGTCCCCAGGACATATGCAACTGAAAACTCACACCCCAGAAGTGACTCGAACCCATACTCCCAGAAGCAACGCATCTGGTATGTACAAGACGCCTTAATCCACTTGACCATCACGACCGGACATAATGAGGTGATAGCCGAGGCTATTTGAACCACCCACCGCCGGCACTCGGATAGTTATCTTGGGCATAGCATTTTACCAAATCACCTCATTCTTTGGGGCAACACGTGAGGAACACAAATGCGAACAAGCCTGAATGGTCCCCAGGACATATGCAACTGAAAACTCACACCCAGAAGTGACTCGAACCCATACTCCCAGAAGCAACGCATCTGGTATGTACAAGACGCCTTAATCCACTTGACCATCACGACCGGACATAATGAGGTGATAGCCGAGGCTATTTGAACCACCCCACCGCCGGCACTCGGATAGTATCTTGGGCATAGCATTTACCAAATCACCTCATTCTTTGGGGCAACACGTGAGGAACACAAATGCGAACAAGCCTGAATGGTCCCCAGGACATATGCAAGTGGATTAAGGATTAAGTGGATTAAGTGGATTAAGGCGTCTTGTACATACCAGATGCGTTGCTTCTGGGAGTATGGGTTCGAGTCACTTCTGGGGTGTGAGTTTCAGTTGCATATGTCCTGGGGACCATTCAGGCTTGTTCGCATTTGTGTTCCTCACGTGTTGCCCCAAAGAATGAGGTGATTTGGTAAAATGCTATGCCCAAGATAACTATCCGAGTGCCGGCGGTGGGGTGGTTCAAATAGCCTCGGCTATCACCTCATTATGTCCGGTCGTGATGGTCAAGTGGATTAAGGCGTCTTGTACATACCAGATGCGTTGCTTCTGGGAGTATGGGTTCGAGTCACTTCTGGGGTGTGAGTTTTCAGTTGCATATGTCCTGGGGACCATTCAGGCTTGTTCGCATTTGTGTTCCTCACGTGTTGCCCCAAAGAATGAGGTGATTTGGTAAAATGCTATGCCCAAGATAACTATCCGAGTGCCGGCGGTGGGGTGGTTCAAATAGCCTCGGCTATCACCTCATTATGTCCGGTCGTGATGGTCAAGTGGATTAAGGCGTCTTGTACATACCAGATGCGTTGCTTCTGGGAGTATGGGTTCGAGTCACTTCTGGGGTGTGAGTTTTCAGTTGCATATGTCCTGGGGACCATTCAGGCTTGTTCGCATATATATATATATATATATATAACACCTCTAGCTGGAAG